CAAACTCTCTTATTTATGTAGTTTATTGTATGTAGTCAGAAGTTTGTGTCTTAATCACCAGACAGAACAAAACACTAATTTCTCTGAGGTTAAGCTAATTTTTATAAAAACAATTATTAAAATCATCAAACCTTCTCACCTGTCTCTGTCTTTTTACAGCATCACATCCATCCCTGCCCTGTGTGTGCCCTGGTGTACCGATCCTCAGAGCAGCGCCCCCCTGTGTTGCCCCGCGGTCCTGCGGTTCCTCTGTCTCTGACAGGCCACTGGGTCAGCCTGCGCTGTGAAACCCGACCCAACGTTCTTTTCCTCACCCGAGACTTCACCTTTAACCCAAGCCAGCATGCCTGGGAAGGCATCTACCGTCACTACTTGGACTCCGCCTGCTCACAGCCCACGTTCACCCTGAGAGCCTGGGGGCACTACGCTCAGGGAAACCCCTCGTCCAAACTCTCAGGAGCCACTGAGTTCGTCTTCAAGGTGACGCAGGTGAGAGTCACGGCCATTGACAAGTCCACTGCCAAGCTGCTGAACAGCACAAGACCGGGAAAGTGTGGACGAGCGGGAGACTGGAGTGTCGGTGTGGAGCAGGACTTGACCGCCACAAACGGATGTCCTATGCTGGGCATCAAGCTGCCGCATAAGGAGTATGAGCTCTTCAAGATGGAGCTGGACCACAGAAAACGCCCGCTGTTATTCACAGGGGAGAGACCGACTGACGGGTCCAGTCCAGATCGACCATTAAGGCGGCCCACCTCCTTTCAGGCTCCCATGGTACTTTGCAACGGGGGGGAGACACACCCCTCCTTCTCAACTTTTAATAGCAGGCAACTACAGTTAGCCAGTGGGACAGCAGGTCTGGAGAAACTGGTGTTACTGGTGTTTGGATCAGCACTGTGCAGCTGGCTTGTTGTTTACTAGAGACGTTCTCACAAATCAAACCTGGTTCTCAGCTCAAGGAGGAGATGGATGTTTGGCAGCTGAAATCATCTCTTCCCTTTAAAGACTAGAACTAAAACCAGAATCAGGGGACCTTTAAAAAGCGCTGAAAGGTTTTTCACATCTTGAGCTCAGATGTCACCTCATGAGTAAAAGACTAACCTGTTCAACAAGACCCCATTCTAGAATGAATTGAAATAAGATGGAAAAGTATCTTTGACAATATTTATCCAAAAGTGCCACAATCCATTAAATAAATGAGTAATGAAATAATTATTCCAGATTTCTAGTGCAAATATCTTAGTATGCTTGAAATAAGACAAAACTAACTTTCAAATAGCTTTTCAGTAAGGCAATACATAGGAGCTTGTTTAAAGTCAATAATTCCTTAATATTGATGGAAAAGTATTAGTTCCATTGACAGATTATTTCACTTATAACAAGACATTTTCCCATGTCTTGTTATAAAAATAGAGCCACTGAATGCACTCCAATTCATTAGATGGCAGAAATTGTTTTTCTTGTTGTTTGGATAGATCAGTGAGTTTCCATTAATCCTGAGTATAAATTTCAGATGCTGTATTTAAACGTTTTTCAAAATATCTCCACAAAAAGCAGAAATCATGGATTAACCTGCAAATTTGATTTTCTGGACAAGACTGAAGAAAAAAAAATAACTACATAGGAGGCAAAGACATTTATTTCTTTCCTAGTGACTGATCTATCTAATCATGTATATAATGGATTATTTGTGTATATATTTCAAGATTTAATGACACCCAGATATTGATTAAATTACATATTAGTGGAGCATGGCACTTTTGGACCTCCATATATTTTGGCTTTGGATTGGATTGTGCAGATGTTTTCCTCAGATGGCTCACCTGCATTTTTGAAAATCTAAGAATGTTTGAGGTGTAATAATTAAACAAAATACAAATACTGACATGAGTCAGTTCCACATTAAAATTTAAGAGATGCATATTAGTTCAATTTACACCATTACTAATTCAGTTTGTACAGAACATTTTTTATTTTTCATTGATAAAAACTAGATAACCACCGTCACTGATCCACAGACACTGTGGACTGAAATGTTATTTTATCTTGATGCCTTTCTACCAGCAAAGTAATCTAATCAAATGAGTATTTATTTTTTACCATTTATTTTGTATATTTACACACAAAGAGAATTTTTTTTTTTTTTTACAAAAATGGTTCCCTTGTCATTTAATATTTTGTATGTCAATTAAAAAGGACTTTTAATAACACATGGGGTTTATTTGCTCTTTCAAACATGATCTCAAGCTTGTTTGTTCATGCAAGTTCCTTTCTTGAGAAAATCATCTGTTTCCATACAGACAATGGAAACTGTCTTTGCACTTCCACAGATGATGACATCCACTGTTGTCCTTATCTGCCAATCACTGTCAGCAAAAATGAGTGGCACTCATGCACTGCAAAAACACAAAATCTTACCAAGCTTTTCTGTCCATTTTGTAATGCAAATATCTTAAAACACTTGAATTAAGTTGAAACTAACTTACAAGTAATTTTTCTGTAAGATAAGAGCTTGTTTTAAGTGGATAATTCCTGAATATTGGTCCAACTGCAGATTATTTTACTTATGTATGGATATTTTTCCCAGAAGTGAAATATTCTTCCAGTGGAACTGTTTATTTTTTGTTTCTTTTATCAATATTAAGTAATTATTTACTTAAAACAAGCTCCTATGGATTGCTGAAAAGTTACTTAGAAGTTATCTTCACCTTATTTCAAGTGTATTAAGATATTTACACTAGCCACCAGATCAACAATACTTGGCAAGATTTTGTTTTTGCAATATAGAAATTTTTCTGGTATAGTTTGCGAAGTTTCTATTTCATGTTCTTTCAAATTGTTTTTAGACATTCTCTGTGGAAAAATATGCAAATATTCAAATTTTCCACAGACAAAAAACAGTTGCTGTTACATTCCACAGAAAAAATGCTAAATACTGAACACCGAATACGCCGAGTGGTTCAGATCCAAGCAAAGCCTGGTGTTAAAGTCAAAGTCCAAATCTAAATCCAATTGAGAATCCGTAGCAAAGCTCAACAATTTCTGTTCACAAATGTTTTTTCATCCAGCCTGACTGACCTAAAGCTAAAAGATTTGCAGCTGCAACTGGAGTACAAAGGTGTTTGTTCAAAATTTTTGACCCGCAGCAACTCAATACATATGCATGCCACATTACACTCGGAAGATTTATACTTTTTAAAAGAATTTGGAAAACGTTTATATCGGTGCTGCCATGTGGAAGTGAGCCGGTGATTTATTTTTCCTGATACTTTAATAGGAGAACAAGAGTATAAAGACGGTTTTGATTTCACGCACATAATAAAAGGGTATTGTTAGAGGAGGAAAACAAACATGGCCACAAGTTTCACTTCAGTTATGAGTGGAGACAATAATCACAAAAAGGATTCTCTATCTTTTCCAACCAGCAAGACGGTGAATTAGTTGCCTTTGAATCAATCGTTTACAACAGTATAACTGCTTATGCCAGTTATACTGTACTGAAGGTGCAAGTTTGATTTAGTCCTTCACATTATTCAATTATATTATTCTAACCTTTCAATGATAGCACAGTAACCGTAGAGGAAATGCAGGTATTTTGGTCTTGTAAAGTAAAAATGTTACAGTTTAGCACAGACAGCTGACAAAGTCCAAATCAGAGCTTATGGGAGTGTTTGGACAATTTTATAAAAGCCTTCCACTTTGCAGCTCTGCTTTCAGGTCTTGTTTTTCCCAAAGTTTGCGTGAGAACTGTCGTGTGTAACATTTTTATACGTCCACACAGGATATACATGAGGCTCTGGAGGCTTCAGTTTTCAGTAATCACTGACAATCTGCTCAGTAACTGCTGAAATATTTATTCTTGACCAAAGAGGTGGACCGACTACACTCGCAACAGCAATAGTGAAGCTTTGTTTGAAACGTTTCCTGATGCAGCTGCTTTATTTCAAGAAGAACCAGAAAATTGAAGTGAACTTCATCTGCAAGTTGTCGTCTTTAGCCTGATTCAGAGCCCAGATAGGGAGTTAATGTATTGGCATTTAATAAATACCTGTCATATCTGGTCTGCAAATTATTCCAAAGGCAACCCAGTGCAAATTCTCCTGAAAACACACAGAGAGGGACATCAGACAGCTGTCAGCACAGAAAACAGTCTTTGCAGCGAGTCTGGGAAGAAATGAGCCGAGAAGAGCTATTGGAGGGAAATAAAACTCGTGCAGTGTTATGGCTAAGGCAACTCAAGAGTTGTGCACAGACCCGTATTAATAACATACTGACACCTGCTTCCACAAAATGAAGATTGTTTCTAGTTTAACTCACTGCCGTGTGTCAAAAAAACAATCCATCACAAAAGTTCTTTAGCTTTAAAATCAGAAATAACTTCCATGTTTCTATGGTAATTTTTTAAATGTTTTTATTATTATCATTTTTGAAATGCCCCCTATAATGATTCAGCTGCATATAAGTGAGAATTTGATCATTCTGCCATAGTCAGTCAAATAACTACAGTGCAGGTGATACAAAAATCCTGCATATTCTAAGTAATAATATTAACATTTTTTCCTCTTTTCTTTTCAGTTAGTATTTTTTATTAGCTTAAATGAATGTCTGATTGATCTTTGCAACCCTACAGAGTTTACTTCTTCACAGCAGAGATAGAAACAAATGACTCCCTGAGAAGCACAGACATCTTTTAGTTATGAAACCTACTGCTGAATGGAGCAGACCATTTATGAAAAATGTTATGTAAAATGAAAATAGTTGATCCTGAAATGAATTGTTCTGGACCACAAATCTCACAAAGTGGATTGTACTTTTTGAAAAATCTTAGAAATGAGTTGGAGATTTGTCCCTGTCCTCCAGGGAAATGTGCAGCCTTAGTAATCTACTGTCACAGTTTCCTCCTCCAGCATTCAAAACATCTTGAGAAAATTTCATGGTGGTTTTTCAATTAATTAGATGAACAAACAAAGACTGATTTGATTTTAGCAGCATCGTTTTCAGTGAGTCTACATTATGACATCAAAGTTTTAGTCACATAAACACAGAGTTAAATACCAACTGTCCATCAAATACAGAACACACAAAACTGTTAAATCTGTACTGTAAGAAAAACTCACTCAGGTTACTCATCATTGAAAAAACAAAGGAGTTTAGTTTTTACTCTGTATTTAACCGTCAAAGTGAACAGTCTGCTTTGTCTCTGTAACATCGTTTATCTTAATTATTCTGTAATTATAAATTGAAAATGTTGCTCGTCCAATCAGAAAATGTAACTATTTCCACTTAGTAGCTTCTATTTTTTGCATAGACTGCACCAAATATGCCCCTTGGGATCAATACTCTCCACATTTTAAAAAATTATAATCCAATAAAATAAACAATGGTGCAAGTTGCTTACATTCAAGAAACATGGGAAAAGTAGTGTCTATTTCCCTCAAGAAAGAAAGGAAGAAAGAAGAAAAGAAAGGAAGAAAGAAAGAGTATTCAGAGGATACATGCTGTTTCCATTAACTCCTGTGAAAATGGTGATGGCAGCTGCTGGCCCCATGAGGTCATCCTTCAGGCTCGGATGGAGGACACAGGTCTGTACCCCCCATACTGACCCCAAGCCAACACAGAGAGAAACAAAGACTGATTGGAAGAAAAACAGAGAGTGGGTGAGCACCATTTATCTGTTCAACAATGCGCAGACTTTGTAATTAAGCCAATCATGATCCTGAATAAATCCCGTCTCCCTTTCGCTGAATCCAACAGCAACCGCACGGATCCATCTGGACGGTTGCAGGCTGGGGAAAACGCTGCGCTGGGGTCTGTTTGTGGTTTCTGTTGCACACCAAAAAGGCAGAGAGGAACACGATGCCAACCTGTTAGCAATCAGACCCGGTGGCTTATTAACTGCATTTAGGAAAATATAAAGCACACTCACAAATCAATTAATTACATCATACAGCGCTGTGGGTTTGGCTTTACACCAAAGTAACAGATTTCCTCTTTTCATTCACCATTTTTAAATTAATTTTGAGTATGCTGCATTTGGAGCCAGTTAGCTCACAAATTGTGAGCTTATAGATCTAGTTTCAGATTTGTATAAATGAAAATTAAATGACAAACACCAGGCACAGCTGTCTTCATGTTTTCACTCCAAATGATGCCGTCATCTTTGTTTTTTGTGTCGCATCTCTCGTGCATGCATCTTGGAGAGATCCAAAGGATCTGACGTATAGTGAGAGGATTGAGTTATAAATTAAAGGCTCATTTTGAGCAGGATGTATCTGTTTTTTAAATCACAAGTAATAGAGTGGACATTCTGTTTGTAAGTGGTACAAACAGTTCCCTGCTGATGTTTTGAGAACAGAAATAATCATAAATTATGATCCCAGATGTAGCCCATGTTATGCTGCATACGCACAATTTGTTTGAAATGTTTTGTAACAGAGGTAGTTCTTCAAACTTGGCGTGCAACAATCAACTGGTCCTGATTTTTTTCATTTTGGGAGGCGGACAATCAGCTGATCCTTATTCGGAAAAAGTGTCTGACTTTTCAGACAATAAAATCAATATCAGAAAGCTGCAATTGGAAATCCCCTGATTAAAACCTGTTATTAAAATTTAAGTTACTTCTTTCACACGTTGTAGCAGAAGCCATAATACGAACTAATAACTTTAACAACACATTTTATTTAGGACACAGTACAGATCAAGCAGCATATAGTAAACAAAGGCACTTCGTTCTTGAAGGCCGAGCTAAGTCCGACCAGGCGTTTTGCGCAGCTGAATGGTTGTCATGGAGATTAAAGGATTTCTTAAACATGCATGAAAGAATCAAGGCAACATTACAGGTATGATTTGGATGAGGAAATAATATTATAACATGATGTAAAACTCAAAAACGTCTATTTTATGTGATCCAGCCTCTTTAAAGAACTAGATATTTGTAAAAAAAAAAAAAAAGAAGAAAAAATGCATTTAATGAAGTACAAATGAATGGTGTGCCTTTTCTTTAAATGTGTAAAGTAACACCTTTTACAAAGATAACTGACGAAACAGTTTTTAATCTAAGTCATTTTTGTTTTTTTGCAAAAAGCTTTATTTTTGAAAACTTGATAAACAGAAAATCTTTATCTTTTGCAGTGTGCTGCAGCACAACTCTCCCCTGCTTTCTTTGTCTTTGTGCCCGTCAGTAGTGAACAATCATTGGATACGCATAGCGCCATTTTGAGCCATGAGTCTCATTCAAGACCTCAATAACAGAAAAATAACTTTCCTAGCTTTAGCAGAAAACATATACCTAGATTAATGTTGCTGAGACTAAAAATATAGAAATATATATTGCAGGTTTAAGATTGGGTCAACGTTTATTGGATTAGGTAGAAAACAAATATGAAATAGAAAATAAAAGATTATAATCGGTTCCAACAACCACCATTTGATTTGCAGTGATGTTCTGTGTTGATCGATGCGATGCCACTTTAAAGCCAACCAAATGAATGTCCTGTGGTGCAGGAAGTCTTGTTTTTGGTGTTTGCTAATTAGACTCACAGGCTGCACCAGTAGCTGTCCAACATTTTCCACTGACCACAGAGACACAATCATCAGATGATTGGACCCCAGATGGTGAGAAGATTAATAACATTTTCAAATCTGTCTGCTGAAGGTGCAGCTGCAGCCAGCAGCCAGTTAGCTTAGCTTAACATAAATACTGGAAACTGGGGAATCAGCCAGCAGCGCTCCATCCAAAGGTAACAATATCTGCCCACTGACAGAGCAAATGCTTACCATCTAACTGCTTACATCTAGCCTGTGGAGAATAAATGTCAGGTGAGCTGTTTCACTTAAGTCATGGGAGAAAGTGAAGACAAAATGACTCCTTTTAGGCATAAAATGTGATACTGCAGGATTTTATAAGTGCCAACCATTAAAAGGCTAGCAGAAATATTAAGAGACAGATGTGGTAATACATGAGAAAACTGGCCAAAATTCCTCCAGTTGAAACCATCCAGACTAGAAGTGTGGTCCAAAATGATGTCAATCAAAAGAAAAATAATGTAAGAGGGAAACTTTTATGAAGGGCCAGTTGAGGAGTTCACAAAGTTGTTGTAAATCTCTGCTGCTCATCAGTTTTTTTGTTTAGAAATGATGTCGTATGACACTGCAGTGTCTTTATTTTGATTCCAGAAACACATTTTTTGGTCTTAAAAAATAAAAGCAAGATTCCAAAATGTTTCTTTTCAGACAAACCAAGTTCCCAAACCACAAATAGTTTAGTGGTTTAGTTTGACAAATGTTCTAGTAAAAGAAGGACCGACTGCTGACTTTGGACAGGCTTTCTTTTGGTCGCTTCTCCAACATTCCCATGAAAATCTTACATGTGCAGTTAATGCTCACAGACATGACTGAGATGACTTCACTGCGGTAGTATGGGTAACTTCCAACTTCTCCCACTCATTCAACATTTCAGGCTCGGTTAAGAAAATCCCATTATTTCTATAAGAATATGAGCTGCAGCTGCATCAAAAAAGGAAAACATGAGCCACAACTCGGTTGGCTTAGTTCAAACAATTGAGTTTCTATTTAAACAACAACCTTCTGTCCTGTTGGCCGCAGAGCTGCAGCGTAGAGCAGCAAACGAGTTTTCCTTGATCTCAGGCCAAGCAGAGCGCGGGCTCCTTTCTGTCATGACCTCATGCTCATACTCACCGAACCAACTGAACAGAACTGCGCCGCATTCTCCTCTGCTTTTTCAAAATGAGCTCCTCATCTATCACACCAACAAGCTGAACGTTTAGAATGTTTCATTACATTATAGGTAAAAATATATATTAAATGTATTTTTCTGCAGCTGCTATAGAATGCAAATCGGCTTCAGAAGCTTGTGATTTCCTCTGGGTCGCTTAGATTCCTGCATGGATAATGATTTAAGAGAAATTAAATATTCTATCAGCACAACTCACAGGTTAAATAATTTAACTGGATGTTTGTCCTTTCTTAGATTTGAACTTATTGCACTCCAGGTATTTTAATGTTTTTTTTATTCATTTATTTTGGCCATCTGAAACATCTGATAACAAAATTAATCAAAGGTGTCCATACAAAATGATTGATAATAATATTTTCTTTTTTCTTGTCATTTTATTCATTTTTTAGTTGTGTCCATTATAAATAAGCTTGAGTAAACAAACTGCAACATCAGTGGGAGAAAAAATACAAATAAAATAAAATAAATAAATAAAAAGTTAATATGTAAAGATTTTGTGTTTTTGTAGTGTTGCATAAATATTACACTGCAAATACACAAAGTATCTTTGGTCTAATTTCAACTGCAAATATCAAAGCTAACCAGCAAGACATAAGAACGTATCTTAAATCAATAATAATATTGACAAAAGAAAAAAGTACTAGTTTCACTGGCAGATATTTTCACTTATAACTAGACATTTTCTTTATAAGTAAAATAATCTGCCATTGGAACTTGTCCTTTTTTTTGTCAATATTCAAGAATTTATTGACTTAATGTAAGCTCCTATTTCTTGCTGATGTTACTTGTAAGTTAGTTTTGCCTTATTTCAAGTCCACTGAGTTATTTGAGCTATAAACTAGACAAAAACACTTGGTGAGATTTTGTGTTTTTGCAGTGAATGCATAAACCTGGTTGACTGGGTTTCATGCAGAGTGAAAAAAAAAACACTTCCAGAAGATACAATTATTGCAATTTGCATATTACATATTATTTGTTTAACCTTGTTCACATTTTATGTTTTACCGTGGTTACAATCTTCTGGCAAAGTCACAAGCTTGAATTTTGAAACTCATACTTTGCTTAACTTTTCCTACAAGTGATACTTAAACCACAAACCCATCGTTTTCATCTTCTCAGTATTTTCAAGCATTCCCCAGCAATTAATTTTGAAAATAGATTCTTTCCAAATTGAATATAAGAGCATAAATTAATCCTGGTAGCTTACCGAGTTTGCAGCTGTGCTCCAGTCAAGCCAAGCCAAACAGCCGAGGAGCTTCTGGCCCAGGAGGGCAGTTTCCTGACCCAACCTCAGCTGTGCTGCCTTCATCCAGGAGGTACACACAGAAACATTGTGTGGTTGCTACTCATGCAATAACACTGGGTGATTTACAGGAATTTATTTTTTTATTTAAACCACAACTGAGTAAAATTTTAAGCAGTGATTAATTTGCTTGCAGCTGTAAATATTTTACCATTAAATCCACTGCAGATTGCGGTTCTGCCAACTCAAACAAGAAGGAACAACCAGCTTGGGCACAAATGGTGCTGCCTGCAAGTCACTGGGGGAAGTCAGTTAATGATCTGTTCATTTTTATTCCTTACTCTCATTTTTTTTTAATTACATGCTATATTCACATATTTGGAGTTTCCTAAGTCCTCAAAAACTATATTTTTTTATTTCCATTAGCTACCAAAGGCTGGATCAGGGATTAACTGTTCTTCAAATTCAACAAAAACTCATTTTCATTCGTTTTTAAAAAATGAATATTAAATATTAGTCTGAATTTGTCGCCGTCTTCAAATCTAAGCTACAAACCTGTTTAAAAGGACTTGCATTTTATTTCCATCTTTCCTATTGACTCTCAGTGTAATACCTGTTGAATGTCATCATGTGCTCGTATCATTTTTCAATTTTTGTAGATGGTGATTATTTTGTTTTCATGATTTTCTTTTTTTAAGCACTTTACGTTACCTTTGTGTTTTAAATGCGTTGTATTGATTAAATTTAACAGAATTTGATCTCTAGTATGAAAAGAAACGTATTCCAGCTTTTGATCATCTGTGATTTTATAGAATAAACGGTGGGTTTGGACGTCTGCTGCCTTTGCGATAAACCTGTGGAGACCTGTATGCATAAACGCATTACCGTAATTCCAGGGATATCGATGGTTACAGGTGCATTTAAGTAAATTAAAACATTACATTAAAAAGTTGGTTGATTCAATTATTTTTTTCAACCACAAAAGGGGTACCTTGCAATGGATAATGAAAAAAAAGATAAAAAGCATTTTCTTTGGAGAAAAAAACTAAAAAATTCAAATAAATGATTAAAAAAAAAATGCCGTTAAAAAATATGATTTTAACAGGAAGAAACTTCTAGCAAAACCTGTTTCATGAGTTTTATCAATCACAACAAAAAATTAGCTTAAAACATTTTGAGCTCACTTGTCATAACTGTTAATCAGCAAACTTTCTTTAAGTGTCGTGTCTCTATAATTCCATAATAATCTCTCTTCACATAATTTTCGTATAACTAAAAATTATTTTGTGGTGTCTGAGTCAGCAATAAAGCTTCAACGTTTAACAGAAAATAACTTCACACATTTAGGAAGAAGCTTTATTCATTTAATTTATTAAGATGCTACATAGTCCAACCAAGTCAGGTTGGGGTTTTTTTTACGTTATTTTTATTTATTTATTTTTTTACACCAGACTACTCGACTAAGAATTTTAATCATCTTCTCAGATAGACTTTTCATTTATATACATACAAAACAGTTTCTGGAGTGCTTACAATGATCACGGTGATGTTCGGAGACTTCAGGAAGGTTCAGCGTGGAACATTTTACAACCAGGCCCGAATCCGTTAGTGTTCACATATAACTGCTTTATTTGGTCAGTCCCACACGGTGAAATTTACAGCATCAGAGTCAAATTTACACATTTGATTACCGAGTTATAATCTGGTGTTTTTAAAAGTGCCAAACATTTGGACGCTCCAAACGGGATGGAACTAAAGAACAACTTTGTGGAAACACTAGAGACTGAACTGCAGCTCCGGTCTGCTCTGCCCTCCCTCCAAAGCACAAAGTGATCCTCAACCCAAAAACCTCACAGAGATACAGTAAAAACACAAACTCATGTTTATTTCCACTTACTTACCCACCAATCAGATCCATATCAACTTTCCCTCCACTCAACAGAAGAAAAAAATAGAACATTTCTGACATTTTCTTTATTTCTCAGCAAATGTGAACTGAAAGAAAGTTTTTGTCAACCTTTTTCTGATTATTTCATTTGTACAGATGAAGATAAATATCACCAGCTGCTT